TTACAGGTAGTCTGTGGATGGTGCTTCCTTTGATGGCTACTTTCCATCACCTCCATTTACCCCTGCTCTTCTAGCAGTATATTTCTCTTCTGTCACTGAGTCCTGTTCTAAGCTGAGCTCCCCAAGTAAGGAAAATTCACTCCTCTTTGCCCACAGTGCATGGACTTGCAGCTTATGCCCAAGACGCTCTGTCTCCTTGCTCTTTGTTTGGCTAACATGGCTAGCTTCTTCCTTTTCTATTTATCTGAGTGTGTCCAGGATCAGTGCCCTTTGTTCATAATACTCCAGAAATTTTATTAAAGATTTCATAGCACAAAGAATCCTATTATACAGAGAATAATCACCCTTATTTTACTTGTTTGGCAAGTCTGTATGTGTTGGTATTGCGGCTTAAACTCGGGGCCTGGGTGCTATCTCTGAACGTTTTTGCTCAAGGCTAGCATTCTACCACTTGAGCCACGGCTCTGCTTCCAGTGTTTTACTGATTGTTTCATCCGCCTTCTTGCCCAGGCTGGCTTCAAATTGTAATCCTTAGATCTCAGTCTCCAGAGTAGCTAGGATTATAGGCATGTGTCACTGGCACTTAGTGACTCATTGGATTGTTTAAAAAAATATGTTACCTTTGTATAGTTTTAGCTCCTTTTTAACATCCAGAAAAAAATGGAATATAAATTAAGATGTGTGCAGTTTTGCAATGTCAACTTTTTCCTAGGATAACATTTTAGGAGTCATGAATTGATGAAGATTGATTTTTGTATCTCTTATTCCAATAAAAATACCAAAAGATACAAATCAAGGGAATTATCTTAAAGAGATTTCTCTATCTCCCCCATGCTCAAGATCTAAACTGCCAATTTTATATTCTAAACATGTCTTGAAAATTCTCTTCCTATGGCTCATGTCAAAGCTGGTTAGAAACCTTAACATTGTCTCTGAATTTCCTCTGAACATCTACCAGATGATTCTATTTAGAGAATGCACTGATTGTGTTATTCTTCCCTTAAAACCTTTTCATGTCCCTGGCCCTGTTTATTTCTTGTGTCTTATCTCCTTTAACATTTTGCTGTGCATTTTCCAGTGGAATTATATTTATTTGAATTCCCAGAACTACTTGGAGATTTGGACCCTTGTGACATGATGAGCAAATCTCTGTCATAGGATATTTCCCATCATGCTCCTTCCTCAGGCTCTAGTGCTGAGCAGGCTTCTGACAGATGCCCAATAAATCCCTTATGACCTGAACTGAGCTGACAAAATGTGGTGTCTGGGAAACACTAGTTTGGAAGTTTTGTTCAATAGTCAGTATGAATATGAAAATGAAAGAATATCACTCATTTTCTTTCTGTCACTACAAAACAGCTAATATCCAGATCTCCCCAGAGGGATATGGTAAAAGGGTACTCTGTATGAACTTGCTTATGTTTTCCTACAACATTTCTTATTGCTAAAAATCAAACCAAACCAAAACAACCCTAAATAGAATTTCCTTACGTGCTGGAAAAGAGTGGTGAAGCAGTCTGACTGAGTTGGCATTCTTTATCTTTGGATGTATGGATTTCTGAGATGAATTGCTTTTGGAACATTTGCATTTCTCAGTAGCCAAAGGAATCCTATTTAAAGATGGGAATTGCTTTACTAAGCACAACTTGGAGAAAATAGGAAGAAGGATCCATTTTGTCATTTCTTCCCCTCCCCCAAATGTAATGAAAACAGCACATTAAAAAATTAAGGGTCTTCAAGTGACATCCAATTATTTGGAAAGGTCACTGTGATTATAATTTAGAAAAGCATATACTTAAAATCTATTTTTACACAAACCATGCCTTTGGAGGCAGCTGGCATTCTGCAAGAGAAGGGATCATGAGCCTGAGTAGATGTAAGAGCTACCCTTTCTGAGTCCTTACCCTGTGCCAAGTACTGAACAGGTACATTCTCAGTCCTGTATGGAGTTGGAGAGCCTTGGCCAGGTCAATGACCATTTCTTTGCTTGCAGGTGAGGATCCTGAGTCTGGGGGTCTGTGAGGAAAAAGAAGCAATTTCTATCCCCCACCTCCCAGAAACTCTCCGTTTCTAACAAGATATCTGCTCACACTGCTGAGACGTGGGAGGAGAGATGGAGCATGGATGGAGGCTGGGTGTTGCCTAGGAGAAGCCATATTTACTACTACAGAATGGGCCACTAGTCTGGTCCTCTTCCGCAAGGAGACTCCAGGTCTCCTCACTGCAACACACCTCCTGAACACACAGGGAGCAGGGGCTTTGGGACAATGTCGCCAAATTCTCTTATTGCTATTATGCCAACCTGGTCTGGAACATGCACTGTGCTGCCATGGTTGAGTGTTGGTCCTTCCTATTCCACTCACTCCTTGTTACCTCTGAATAGCAAGGAGTTATCCAGTGCCTTGCAATATATTCAACTCATCCTTCATGAGTTTATGGGAGTCAAATAGTAAAAGCTTAGAATGCAGGAAGTCAAGTAGAAGAAGTACAGGACTATCTCCCTGGGCAGGTTCAGCAGTGATACCCATAGCTGCTTGTGAAGGCCTGCTACCTGTTCTGATGTACAAAAGAGATTACATAGTTCTTTCCTCACAGATTCCAAATAAGAGATGACAGTTCCTAGCAGTGGGGGTTTAGATCTCCCTGCCTTTCCACTCCCACCTCTGCTCTTCACCAGCTGAGAATTCTGATGGCCCACAGAGCCCTGATTACAGTGAAGAAAACAAGACAAGGAGTAACCAGAGCTAGTGTTCCATTCTTTTTCTGAGTAAGGCACTACATTCGATGGGGGTTTAGGAGCAGATTTCTAAGCTTGGAATATACTTTCTGAGTTGGTACATAAATAGTTATCCGTAATTACAACTCACAGATAAAATGCAGACCCCAAACTGTACACCACATTGTTTCTTGCCATAAATAAAATAGATCAAAGGCAGGGCATGGTGGTACTTGCCTATAATCCCTCTACTCTGTGTGTGTAGGGATGCAATTAGAGGACAGAGGACAAGCCTACCTGGGCAAAAGTACAAGATTCTACCAAAATAAAAACAAAACCAAAAAACCTAACAACCCACAAGCTAAAAGCGAAATGGCCTAAGCGAAAACATAAAATTGATTGGTGCAACATTTGCAATTGAGGGCTGGGTTCAAGCCTCAGTACTGCCAGAAAAAAAAAAAAAAAAGATCTCCCAATGGCTAAATTAGTATGATTAGCATTCTTATTATTATTACAAATATAAAGTTATCCAGTCTGTTCTTTTCTTCAAATGAAAGTTTTATATGGATGAAAATAGAATAATAAAACTTCAAAAAAATAATTCTAATCAAAGTCTAGAGCAGTGTACTTGTAGAGAGAATAAGGGAAAACAATTTTATTGGAAAATGAAGTTGTAAGACTAGCTACAGAGATTTCATAAGGATAGCAAGTAATTAGAACTGACAAGATGTGATTTCTGTTAAAATAAATAAAATAGGGTGATATTGATATTAAGTAGACAAATTATTGGAAAAGAAAAGAAAGTGGGAAAATTGTTATAGTATACAAGAAGAATTTAGTGTATCTTGAAAAGGGTGTTTTATGTTAGTAAACATGTTAGGGTAAAGACTGAGTACCACAACTTCCCAGCATGCTAGAAAGACTTGAATGTTAGAGCCATATGTCAGTGCTCAGACTAAAGAAATTCGGAGTGATTCAGTAATCCAAACATAAGGTACAGAGTCAGGGGTATTGACACATAGCCATCATTCCAGCACTCAGAGGCCTGATGCTGGCAATCCTAAATTCAAGACCAGCCGGGGAGACATAGAGGGTTCTAAGGCAGCTGAGATTAATAGTAAGACTCTAAGTCGGCGGGGGAGGGTAGTTGTGGAGGTGGGAGGGAAGGGATGGTAGGGGAAAAACAAAGGAGGAGGCAACAATGCTCGATAGGAAATGTACTCATTACCTTGCTCATGTAACTGTAACCCCTCTGTACAGTAGTTTTACAATAAAAAACATACAAAAGGATTTTAAATAATTAATATAGATCAGACAAATACATAAAGGGCAATGTAAAACAAAGTAGTCAAGATACAGGTCAATAGTTATATAATTTGGAAAATGAAGACCGATTTACTGTGTTTAACAATAAAGGACAATAACATAATCTGGGTGCTGGTAACTCATGCCTGTAACACTAGCTACTCAGGAAGTTGAAATATGAAGATTGTGGCTCCAATCCAGCCCGGGCAGGAAAGTCTGTGAGACTCTTACTTCCATTTAACCACCAGAAAACTGGAAGTGATGCTGTGGCTCAAAGTGGTAGAGTGCTAACATTGAGCAAAAGACATCAGGGACAATGCCCGGGCCTGAGTTGAAGCCTTATGACTGACAAAACAATAAAAATAAAACAATTACAGTAACATAAAAATGTAGAATGCACCTCCTGTGCAATGACACATATGCACCACTATACCTCACCTGTTCAAGTTTTCTAAGAACCCAGGAAATGAATACAAGCAACTGGAGACTAGTGTGGACTTAATATTTTATTCCCAAAGCAAATGAATTGAAATCGTCTACACTGGACAGATTTCCACAGAAATATACAAGCTTACACCAAATACTTGGGTTAGTAACTTGGAAATCATATCAACACACACATTTCAGTGATGACTCTGAGATGCTCTTAGTCATTTAGTTTGTATACATGAAGAGACCATATGTAAATATAAAACATAATCCTTTTTATATTTTGCAAAGGATTTGGACAATTATCTTCTTATAATGAGCCTGGTCTAAAAGAAATCTTCCAGATCTCCACAGAAATCCAAAGGCCTGTGCTGAGTTTTCATGAGTAATTATTCTGTAACACTTTCCTAATCGTTACAAATTTGCAGAAGGAGCTAGGATAACAAAGGGCACTATATAAGGAGACCCTGGTGTCTTCCATTCAGAACCTGTACTCCAAGACATGAATTGCTCATGTGTAGCTATGATTGGCTTTTAAACATAGTATGTATCAACTGTATTCTTCTTCATCTGTCCAGTCCACATTTAGAGTTATTATTTTATTTGTAAGACGTGTGTAAATAAAATTAGTTTCCCTCATTTTCTCAAGGCAGGAAGTAGAACAGACCAGAAACAAAATAGGAAGCTGTGTGGCTCCAAAAATATCAGTGGATCGGATGATGCGAAAACCTCCAAATCTGGGGCCTTGACACCAGTCGCACGTGGATGTGCTGGAATGAAGAAACAGCCAATAAGATTAAAACCTGTGGTATTGATCCCATTGCTTTGGGCCTGTGTGGAGGCAGGACTTTCTTGTGGGAGCCAGTGGCTGAGGAAAGCTTCTCACCTCATGACAAAGAAGCAAAAGAGAAATGGGAAGATAGTTATATCCACCATTCTCTTCAAGGTCCTGTGTCCCAGTAATCTCTCACGAGGCCCTACCTCTTAAAGGTTTTACCTCTTCCCCCTGGGGTGGGGTTGGGGAGAGAGCCTTGAAGATACAAACTGTAACACCTTTCTTTTATAAAGTCAATATTGATCATTTGTATATTCCTGGTAAACCCCCCTTCTTAGGCGTACAACAAACACCTTTCTCTCTTTTTGTGCTAATCCTGGTGCATGAACTAGGGGTCTGGACTCTGTCTCTGAGCTTTTTTGTTCAAGGTTAGTGCTCTAGCACTTGAGCCACACCCCCTACTTAGGGCTTTTTGATGGCTAATTGGAGATAAGAGTCTCCCAGACTTTCCTGCCCTGGCTGGCTTTGAACTTTGATCCTCAGATCTCAGCCTCCTGAATAGCTAGGCTTACGGGCATGAGCCACAGATGCCCAACAACAAATATTTTTAAAATCAATAGTTTGGACACTGTTTGTGAATATGTAAGTAAAAATAGCTTCATACTATCTGAAGGAAATAGAGATCTATTTGGATGGACTATCAGTACACAGAGGTTAAGAGCCTTAGTCCTGAAATCAGGTCACGACACCAAAACTTGCCATCTATTGTGTGTGTTTGTGGAGGTGGAGAGGGAGGCTTGAACTTAGGGCCTGGATGTTGTCCCTGACTTCTTTCTTTCCTCCTTCCTTCCTTCCTTCCTTTCCTTCCTTCCTTTCTTTCCTTCCTTCCTTCCATCTTCCTTCCTTCCTTCCTTCCTTCCTTCTTTCTTTTGCTTTTTTTTACACCATATTCTCAGAGCAACCTGTGTAAGTTAACAACCCTCACATTGCCATCTGTTGTTGGAATCATATTCCTTCTTACATGAACCAAAATCTCATATTCAGCAATGAGTTCTGGATTGCAAAAGAGGATTTACTGTTTGCACCTGTCTGTAAGGCTTTGTTACAACCCCCTGACCTTTTTTTCTTTTTATCAAATGCTCTACTACTTGAGCCACAGCACCACTTGTAGCTATTTGGTGGTTAATTGGAGCTAAGAGTCTGTATTTGAACCATGATCAATCTCCTAAGTAGCTAGGATTACAGGTGTGAGCAACCAATGGCCGGCTTGAGCAGTATTTTAGGTACTCAAATGTATACTTTGGTGAAAGGCACTTTAGAATTGACATACCTTTCAAGTAAACTTTGAACTTCTGCTGAAATTTCATCATGAAACATACAGAGGTTATTTCTGAGAATATAAAAAGCACAGGTATCAGTAAGTCTTAGGGGACTATTTCTGGAATTCTGTTCCCAAAAAGCAGGATGAGTGTATGTATTCTCATATTGGAGTTTTGTCAGGTTAAGGTCCAGAATTCCAGACGGGAAAGCAGTCAACTCATTCCCATCTACATTCAGTTTGTCAAGAGAGCTGCACATAAAGAAAACCATAGTGTTAAAAAGATGCTGATGCAATGTAAAATATTGAACTAAAATTTTGACCTGGCATCCTTTACAATTGACATTAAACTTGGTAGCAACAAAACATGTATTTCAGTATTTCTTTAGAATCAAGAGAAAGTTAACCTAGCCAATATTACTATGCAAATAAACACAAACTGTGTGAGTAATACAGTTGAAACATGTGTCCAGAGATGTTTGCCAACTGTGTCACTATAGAAAAAGAAGTATCTCCAAACACAGGAATACTATGGATACTACATCATATATCACAGTATAATGATACACAGAAAAATGTTCTAATAGCTAAGTCAAATATCAATACATACTTATTCATTCAAGCTTAATAAAGTCAAGGAAGTTTTATCTTATTCCAATGTATGATAGGTTATGTTTTACACCTTGTTAAAAATTATAGGGACTCCGATCCTTATAAAGTTCTGTACATTAATCATTCAGATTTTGCATAAACTTTACATGCCTCATATATTTTATGGTCATTAAGTAAATAACTCAGTGTTCTTAGCACCATCTTTACCAATTATTCTTCAAGGGATAAAACTGGGAACTAGCCACTTCCAAAAAAATACCTGAGATTCTGGATTTCATTTGGAATGGCAGTAAATTCATTGTAGGAAACATCAAGTTCCTCAAGACTGGGAAGGGAAAATAACCTTAAATAAACAGAAAAATCAATCGTTAAAATGAGTATGTACTTTCATTACTGAGTAAAACAATGAAATAAGTAGCGGTGTAAAGTATCCTTTTGTAAGATCTTGTAATTTATATAGACTCCTTTTCATTATAGGTGATATAACTTTCATGTAAGTTCCTAATTATGAGTTATCTATCCATTCAAACTGGTGTGAGATGTTTAGAGTGCACAAAACCCGATTTGATTTTTTTAAAAACAGATTTTTTCCCCCTTGAGTGCGTTACATAGCTTCCTAGGTTGAGAAGGTAAGAAATAACCACATTCTGAGAAATAAGTCAGTTAGTCTTTTCCAGTTCAGGAAGCCAAATTCTCAAGACTCTTATGTCCAATTTTCAGCAAAAAGCTGAAAGTGGAGGCATTCACTCAATGGGACCTGAGACTTGTCCAGAGACCTTTCCTACTCTACCTTCTGCTTCTCCTGAAAATTCAGTATTGTACCAAATCATCATTATACACTTCCAAAACTAAATTGCATATCCATCAAACAAGCCCAGCATCCTCTTTTTTATGGGGGGGGGTCCAGTTGTGGGGCCTGAACTCTGGGCCTGGGCGCTGTCCCTCAGCTCTTCAGCTCAAGGCTAGCGCTCTACCACTTGAGCCACAGTGCCACTTCTGGCTTTTTTCTTTTTGCTTACGTGGTGCTGAGGAATCGAACCCAGGGCCTCAGGCATGCAAGGCAAGCGCTCTACCACTGAGCCACCTTCCCAGCCCCCACCACATCCTCTTTCTCTACCTTCTCCTCTTACAAACTCAGCATCAATTTCTGTCTCAAAGGATCTGCCTGCTCTTAGGGATCTCATATAGGTGGAGTCATGCCATATTTGTTCTTTTCTCTCTGATTTATTCCACATAACAGAATGCTCTGAAGAATTATCCTTGTTGTAGCATGGGCCAGCATTTCATTCTTTGTGAGAATGTACGTGTGCATAATTTTGCTTATACACTCATCTCTTAATGAACATTTAAATGGAGGCCACTTTTTGTCTATTATGAACAGAAGTCGTGGGTTTTCCGTTACCCTGTTGTTGCACGACTGAATTGCTGACTTTTTTTTCAGACTATTTCAGAGTAAATAAAGTTGCTATGGACAATCCAGTAGCTACCTTCTTCCTCTTATAAAAAAGAGAGCTATTGAGTACATCACATGGGAATACAAATTCATGTCACTATAAATTTATAGCATCCAACTTTAGCTAAGCTTAGCTAATGCTTAGATTTGAGGGTCATGGTTTGAAGCCAGCCCACACAGGAAAGTCCATGAGACTCTTACCTCCAATTAATCACTAAAAATGATGAAGTAGAACTGTTGTTCAGGTGGTAAAGCACGAGCCTTGAACACAAAAAGCTCAGGGACAGCAACTCGGCCCTGATTCAAGCCCCAGAACAGGCACACATGCACATGCACATGTACACACACACACACACACACACACACACACACACACACACACACACACACACACACACACAAAGATACTGGGGCAATTCACTTGAATCACTTTAGATGATTTGCATTCATTCCTTTCACAAGAGATGTCTGCTTGTTCATTCACTAGACCCATATTGTCTGCCAACTGTTTAGCTGGTAGAATCATTTTGAATACCAGAATAAGAAACAAATCAGCAAATTTTAACAGAGTAAGACTTAATGAATAACCAAAAAGCTTCCAGCTACTTTCAAAAGGGAAACTGATTCTTAACGAAAGTGCAAGCTCTTTATTTTCTGTGTTTATACTCCCAGACAATCAACCTTACCCACTTGGAAGATCATAAATCAAATTGAATCCAATGGCAAATACTCTAAGGTACTTAAGGTGGTAAATTTCAGAAGGAATTTCTTTGATAGGATTATTTCTCAGTATCAGTACTTGTAAATTTTTAAGAGAAAGTATCTGGGGGACATAAAAGAGAAACAAACATGGATGAGATAATACAGCATTAAAACCCGTATAAATTCTGAATAAATACAGTAAATTCAGTATTGAAATATTTATTGGCTCATGTCATAGCCCTTAATAGAGTCTTTCAGTCAGTTTTTTATAACTAACAGCTAGCTCTAGTAGACCCAGTGAGATACTGCAACTATGGTATGCATGTACCTTTGATCAAGAAGAGGCCTTTTCTAAATATGAAAGGCCATCAGATGAAAATGAGGGAAGAGGTATTCACCAGAAAGGTGCATAGAATTAATCTTCCTGATTAGGGTTGAACTTTTCTTCTACTAACAGTCTTTTCATTTAATATTTCTGCTTCACCCCTCTCCCACCCTAAACTATTCTACTCTGTGCTCTACCTAATTCCAATATTTGGAACTTTTTATGGAACCTGTATTAACTGCAGCTTTCCCACCTACCCCAACCATGGGCGTTGTATTCACCGCCTTCACCCTATGCTAACTGAAAATAATTAGCCTATTGAAGAATGAGCCCTTTTCCAGGTGCTAGTAGTTCAGCTCTGTCTATAATCCTGGCTACTTGAGAGGGTTAAATCTGAAAGATTAAGGGTCAAAGCTAGCTTGAAGAAGAAGCATCCTTGACATTTCATTTTCAAGTAACCAGCAAAAATCCAGGCGGAAGGAGTGGCTCAAGCAGTAAGGCATCACCCAAGCAAGTAAGACCTTGAATTCAAGTCCTAGTATTTTTTTAAAAAGCACTTTATATCTTACATCTTAATAGCCCCCTTATACTTCTACCTGATTTTTTAATTGGAAAAAATTTATTTTTGTCAGTTGTGGGCTTGAACTCAGGACCTGGGAGTGGTTCCTGAGCTCTTTTGCTGAAGGTTCTACCACTGTGATCCACAGTCCTATTCTGTTTTTGTTTGTTTGTTTTTGGTAGTTAATTGGAGATAAGAGTCTCATGGACTTTTCTGCTCAGGCTGGCTTTGAATTGCCATCTTCAGATCTTAGCCTTCTGAGTAACTAGGCTTATGGGTGTGAGACACCAATACACAGCTAGATAGAATATTTTTGGGCAGATAATTTGTGTGTAAGATATAAATTAACTTAGAGTTCTAAGATCTTTATATTCCCTGGGAATTCTCATCTAGTCAAATTAGTAGAATTTTGTCTAGTCAAATTAGTAAAAACTGGGGCTGGGAATGTGGCTTAGTGGTAGAGTGCTTGCCTACCATGCATGAAGCCCTTAGTTTGATTCCTCAGTACCACATACACAGAAACAGCCAGAAGTGGTGCTGTGGCTCAAGTGATAGAGGGCTAGCCTTGAGCTAAACAAGCTCAGGGACAGTGCTTAGGCCCTGAGTTCAAGTCCCAGGACTGGAAAAAAATTAGTAAAAACTGTTTTTATTTTTTGTATTAAAAAAAGAACAGGGTAATTCTTCCTAGTGGAAAGAAACCCCTACAACATTACTACTTCTGTGCTCTTGCATTACTTTTCTTCCTGGCTCTTACCACCACAGGGCACACAAAGCTGGCGTATGTACACCTGTGCTCTCACCCCACTACAGCACAAGTGCCACAAAATAGGCATTTTTTCTGCTGTGATTAAAAATGTTTCCAATACTAGGTATTTGAAACAGGAAGAATGGCAATTTGCCAAAATTCAATTCAATAAAAGTCAATATTCTGAAAGTCAATTTATGAACAACCAAGTATCCAGCAACTAATAAAACATTTACCCAAACCACTGAAAACAAAATCTGCCCCTAATTACTCTTAATGTTTCATTTATTTGAAGTGACACTATATCTGATGATTTTTCATTCAATTTATTAAGCAGAAATCGAACCCTTCCTTATGGTAATTAAATCTTGTTACTGTTAACTGTTAACTGGGTCCTGGTGGCTCACACCTGTAATCCTCACTAATTCAGGAAGATGAGCTCTGAGGATTGAGGTTCAAAGCCAGTCTGGGGAGGAAAGCCCATGAGATTTTTCAATCTTCAATTATCCACTCAAAAGACAGAAGTTGGAGATGTGGCTCAATGGCAGCCTTGAATGAAAAAGATATGGGACAGCAGCCAGGCCCTGAGTTCAAACCCCAGTACTGGCACACAAGTCTAGTTATTAACTTGGTTGCTGTAGCTCATGATTAGCACATGGATAGAGGTACTTTAGGTTTTATTCAGAAGAAGAAGTTACTTGTTATGAGTGACACAATTATGAGAATGTATTTGAGAACCTGACTTTCACCCAGTCTTTGAGGATCATAGTGCTGAGTCTTCCTAAGAAAAAAATCTGTACTTTTCTACAGTGAGCCTTTTTTGGAAGCAACCCAAAATGTGTTTACTTTAAAATAATTTTGGAGTGTTTAAACTGTCTAGTTTGGTTACAATTATTCACAATAATAAATTATATCAATATACAAACAACAATAAAATGGACTCACTTCATGAGGAAATTGGGTGAGATCATTAAATGCTAGGTTAAGATATACCAATTGTAAAGCAATTGGTGAGAGGTCTGGACAATACCGGAGAGAAAATCCCTAAAGGAAAGTGACAAAGGGTAAGGAATTAATGATTAATATAAAATCTGCCCACAGGATTGCAGCATTTTGGAATATCTAACAACAGTATGACAGACAACCTCAGCAATAAGGTATACAATCAAACTTTCCTAAGTTCATGGAGAAATTGTAACTCTGTGTAGTGTTAGTTAGTTTTACTTAGTTGTTGGTTTTTGAAGAAGGATCTTGCTATACAGTGGAAGTTGGCTTCAAATTTATCTTAATGGCTCCATCTTTAAAATTCTGGCATTACAGGATTATGTTATCATGCTAGACCTTCCAGGTACTTTTAAATTGTGTTGCGCTTACCCTGACTGAGAGAGAGCATCTTTTCAAATTTAAAAGGGTAATTTGTTTCAGCAAATTGTTAAAAGTCTTTTGCCTATATTTTCTGTTTAATGTGATTTTATATTGAATTATAGTCTCAGTTTCCTCTGGTAGTTTACAAAGCACATCTTATTTTTCTGTGGCCCAAACCTTAAACATGGTAAACATGCTGAAAATATTAGTTTTGTTGGTGGTGTTGATCATAATTCTGAAAGCCACAATATCAAATCCCCCAAATTACAATCCTGAAAGATTAAAATCCTATTGAAACCTTGAGAGTTGAAATCATGAAAACTCCAGTTTCCACTGAAACTAGAAGTGCTACATATGAGTGGTGAAGCTGAGTTCTTGGAAGAGATGAATGTGTGTTCTGCTGTATTCGGCATAATGCCCAAATTATTCATTTGTAAACTACTTCTGGCCCTTCACACATAGTGCCATATCTGCCTTCAGAAAATGCCATGTAGCTGGGTATCGTGGCTCATATCAGCATTCAAGAGGCTGGCAAAGGTCAGCCTAGGCTACAAAGAGACACTCTGTGAAGAGAAGAAGGAAGGAAGAAAGGAAGGAAGGAAGGAAGAAAAGAAGGAAGGGAGGGAGGGAGGGAAATAATCACAGATTAGAAGGTTCTTGCATGAGATTTGAGGAGGGTCAGAGAGAAAAAGAAGAAGAAAGGACAAACTGTAAGAGAGAAGAGAGGTAAAAATTCAAAGACAAAGAGAAGAAGAGTATCAGGAATCATGAGATGGGGACAGAACAGCTGAAATGCATGGAAAACAGAAAAGCAACACACATAGAAAAGGAGATGTCACTGGTGTCTGGCTACTACTTGTTAAAAAGTAGGAGAAACTGAAGCAAAATCCTGAAATAAAAAGGTGGCTCTTAGACAATGCAAAAAAAAAAAAAGAAGAAGGGGGGTAGGGAGGGAAAAGAAAGAGTAACACAGAGGGTAAGTATGGTCATTTTGTGCACATATGGAAATGTTATGATGAAACCTCTTACTATGTAATGTAGACCAATAAAATTTTTAAAAGAAAGATTATACTGTTTTTCAGAGAATAAACAAATGAAAACTTAATGTGCTAAGTGACCTCACAATCAATGTTGCTACGCTGATGCTAAGCTCCCTCCCAGGTTACAAAATACAGGGCAAAAGAAACAATTCTTAGAGATTTGACTGATGGAGAAGAGTCTTTCCATATTGAACACTAAATCTAGCTGAAAACTGCACATGTCACTGTCTAATGGGTGGCATTTTCAAAATGGTCTCTGCTGTTTTTCTTATTTCAATTAGACATACAGATTGTGTGTGTGTGTGTGTGTGTGTGTGTGTGTGTGTGTGTTTGGGTCCCAAGGCCTGAACTCAAGCCCTGCACTATTTTGCTCAAGGCTAGTGCTCTACCACTTAAGCCACAGCTCCACTTCGGGTTTTTGGTGATTAATTGGAAGTAAGAGTCTCATAGACTTTTCTGCCTGGTCTAGCTTTGAACTGTGAACCTCAGTTCTACCTCCTAAGTAGCTAGGATTACAGTCATGAGCCACTAGTGCCTGCTAAACACACAGATTGGAGGACAAAGAATTCTGGGTCCAAATCCAACCTCTTCTACCTGCTTACTGGGTGGTCTCATGAAATATAGTTTCACTAAGCTTCAGCGTTTTATTTCTTTTTTGGGGGGTGGGGGTCTGGTTGTGGGGCCTGAACTCTGGGCCTGGGCACTGTCCCTCAGCTCTTCAGCTCAAGGCTAGTGCTCTACCACTTGAGCCACAGCGCCACTTGCGGTTTTTTTCTTTTTGCTTATGTGGTGCTGAGGAATCGAACCCAGGGCCTCAAGCATGCAAGGCAAGCGCTCTACCACTGAGCCACCTTCCCAGCCCCCCAGGGTTTTCATCTGTAAGTAAAGATTCTAATATATACTTTGCAGAGCAGTGAGTTTTAGTGCTCGTACAGAATATAATTAATATTTAATAGACTTTAGTTACTATTATTGTTATTCTCCATGCTTGTACAAATCTAGCCTAGCAGTAGATTTGGCATGAGTTCCAAAGATTTTTGATAACTTAAAAGTATAATAATAAGCTGGAAACCCACTGTCCATACCAGGTTGGGTAATGAAAAAAAAAAGGACTGTAATTATCTTTTGATAATATAGCTGGTGAGACTAAAAACAAATGATTACAGACAGATTTAGAGATGCAATTTTACTATGTTCTTGGGGGAATCTATTGAATTAGGAAAGACTCCATCAATACCATGGAAACTAACCTACAATAGGATACTCAAAAAGTACTTGTTAGTGCATCAGGAGACTGATGTTCAAAAGCTGTAGCAAACCTTGAGATTAAGTGCATTTCTTCCATGTACTTGGCAGGTCACGATTGCCAGTTCGACAATGGCCATGATAGTTTCATAGCGTGTGGCTGCAACTGACTTAAAACCTTCGCCACGTAAAACATGGCTATCTGGCTTTATGGTTCTGATGGTTCCAGTGGTTCTAATCAATCCTAAATAAACAAAGCCAAAGAGAACATAAAATATAAAGGAAACCACAAGAGCATAGCTCAGATATCACCTCCCAAGAGACAGCTCCATTTCTCCCCTAACATCATCTTGATCCAAATACCCTGTGCAATTTAACTCTTCTCTCAGTTTGGAGATTCCACATAGAAAAGGAAAGGAAAAAAAAACAAACAGCTCAGGAATTAGCCAAGAAAACACTATCTAGCTGGTCTCCAGGTAGCTCACACCTGTAATCCTAGTTACTCAGGAGGCTAAGATCTGAGGATCATGGTTTAAAGCCAGCCTTGCTTGGGGAGTCTGTAAGACTCTTATCTCCAATTAACTACCAAAAGGCTGGAAGTGGAGCTGTGTTTCAATCAGTAGAGAACTAGCCTTGAAAAAAAAGCTCAGGGATGCTGGGCACTGGGTGCTCACACCTGTAATCCTAGCTACTCAGGAGGCTGAGATCTGAGGAGCGAGGTTTGAAGCCAGCCCGGGCAGGAAAGTCTGTGAGACTTTTATCTCCAATAAGCCACCAGAAAACCAGAAGTGGCACTGTGGCTCAAGTGTTTGAGCATTTGTCTTGAGCTGAAGAGCTGAGGGAAATAAAAAGACTGTATCCAAATGCACTTTGTCATGACGTGGTGGGCTTTGCCTTCCATTAAAATATGGACTGTGTAAGCATACACCAGGTATTGGATGAAAAAATAGTTGGAGATTTTATGTACAGTAATCAGTTTATAAATGTGCATCCATTCTTGCTGTATTACTTGCCAGAATGTATTTTGAGATCTCCAATATGTTTTGAGATTTGCAGGTCATTTGCTTCAATGAGAGAAAGTAACGCATCTTAGCATCACTACAACATCAAAAAGTTCACCTTTGAACTCTGAAAACACACCGGACCCCTTTCAGATCAACAGATATAAAAATTAACTGCAGAATAAAGAAAGGTGTATGGTGTGATATAAAGAGACTTGTTCTTGGGAGAGGGAATGCAGCAAGAAGGATGGCAGAGGGAATGAGCTGTGTGCTCACCCACCCTAGCTGCCTTTTGAGTGGGAAAGAAGAAATCAATAGAAATCCTTCATTGGTCTCTGAAGTATCTGTTTCACTTGCTTTGAATCTTCCAATGAGTGAACCCTCAAAAACTCAAAGACAAAAAAATATGATTAGGCTATACATATTGTCTAATCTCATAAGGTGAAGGAGACCCCAAAATTAATCCATGTCACAGACTGGCTGAATAACAGGGAGGGCTGGTGGGGTCAGAAAGTCCTACAGATGGAGTAGTACCTCCTGCTAACTACTGTTACTCAAAGATTCATTTGTTATGTTCTTTTTCTGCCTTAGAATTTTGAGTTTAATTTTTAAACCCCAAATTCCAGTATTTCAGTGAATCTCTCCAACCTATTCTTTATTCTCTTGAGCACAATACTCACAGTGACTTTTAAAACCCTGTCAGAAACTCCAACTAGGAGCTGTTTCTGATCTTTTCTTTCCACTAATTTTCAGACAATTTGTTTTGTAGGGTGCTTCTTCCCTTCCTTCCTTCCTTCCTTCCTTCCTTCCTTCCTTCCTTCCTTCCTTCCTTCCTTCCTTCCTTCCTTTTCCTTCCTTCCTTCCTTCCTTCTTCCCTCCCTCTCTGCATCCATGACTGTCTCCCTCCCTCCCTCCCTCCCTCCATCCCTTCCTTCCTTCCTTCCTTCCTTCCTTCCTTCCTTCCTTCCTTCTTCCTTTCCTCTTTACTTTTTCTCTATCTCTTTTTCTTCCTCTCACTTTTGTTTTCTTTTTGAAACAAGCTCTTGCTCTATAGCCTAGGCTGGCTTTGAATTTTTGATTTCCAGACCTCTGTCTCTGATGTATTGTGATATTTTTTTAAAACTTAATGCTGAGATAACATTTATAAAGGAACAATTTTAAGAAGTATGGACAATACTCTCCCCTGCCCACCCCTCTTTTTCTTAGTCAAGAGTAGCACTGATTATTTTCATGCCTAGTGTTGAGCTTTGTTAGGATGGGCCTATTTTTAGGTATAGGTTTTCTGATCAGAGCTCCATGTGTTCACCAGGGCACTTAACAGTTTGGCAGAATTTGAGCTCTATTATCCATCTTTTGATATAACTAGAAAAATTTATGTGATTCTTTAGTTTCTTTGCTGATTTCCCCTCTGCAGTAAGTCTCAGAGTCCTGTTTCCCAATTCCCAGCTTAGAAATTATCTGGTATCCTTGAGGGAATTTGTGAACAGATTTCCAAATTTACTTCCTTTCAGTCCTCTCTTGTCCTAAACTTTGTTCCCTATGTTCTACTGATCCTTTCAGCTTTGAAGCTAAGAGCCATCTCCTCTGCCCCCTGACATGGACACATTCTGCTTGGATTCTCTTCTCCCACAGCACAAATGCCAATAGGCAAAAAGCTAAGGTCAAGGTGTAACTCTGGCATGAGCTTCCCTTCCTTCAAGTATTTAGTCACTAAATCCATGCCTGCATTGGTTACTTTCCAGTGCCTTCAACATTGATTTCATGTACATTTTGGCAGCTTTAATAGTTTATTTGGCAAGAAGGCAAATCCAGTAGAAGCTATCAATCATGTATAGAGCAAGAAGTTTTAGGGCTATCTTAAAATTTGTGTCTGTAATTCTAATACCTAACACTCCTGTGGGTATTATTTCCTGCTAGTTTTCATTTATTTGGTTTTTGTCTTTGGGTGCCTGATTATTACAAATTGTTTGCTACCTACTATTTTTGTGATAGTGTTGGTAGAGACGAATGCAAAGCCTGGGATGATGTAATCTTTTTTTCTCAATTTATGCTAAAAAAAAAAACTAAGGTTAAAGCCCTATGACACTGTCTGGAATTAGTAGTTAACTCTCATTAATTCATGTCTATCTGCCACATTCAGATTAAAAAATGCATCAACTTTTAGGGGCTCAACTAACTATAACTAAACTATAGTTAAGTGGCAGTGCACATTGCCTCCTCAGCACGGGTCTCCCTGGGTTCCATTCCCAGCACCATAAAATATACAAACAAAAATAATCATATGTCAGCTTCGGCATCCCTAACATCACTATAATATCTGGTTCACAGTCCAAACTTAGCCAGGCACCTGTAGCTCACACATGTAATCCTAGTTACTCAGGAGTCTGAGATATGAAGATCTCAGCTAGCCCAGGCAAGAAAGTCCATTAGACTCTGATCTCCAATATCAAAAAAGCTAAAAGTGGAGCTGTGACTCAAGTGGTAGCCTTGAGCAATTAACCTCGGGGTCACTGCCTAGGCTCTTAGTTCAAGCCCCAGGACCACACAGAGACACACATAGACATAGAGACACATACAGATACAGATACAGATGACACAGACACACACAGACACATAGACACACACACACACACACAGAAAAATTAATTCCTAACTCATGGGAAGGGATGGAAGGAGGAAAAGGAGAGAGAATGAAGGAAGGAGTGACACTGACCAAGAAGCAATGTGCTCATAACCTGACTTATGGAATTGTGACTGCTCTGAACAATTACATACTAATAATATTTTTTTCAAAAAGTTAATTGATCAGTAATTGGCTTAAGAAACTGAAAGTGACATTGAGACACACTGAATTACACAATCTATACACAAAATTACCAATATTTATGCAGAGAATGAATTTTATAGTTTCTAAAAGAATGATATAAATCTAGAATTTACCTTCCTGTGTTGATTTTTGGACAGTCTCTGCCTTCCCACTTTCTACGAGAGCCTCTAGAAGAAAAAAAAATGGGTGGGGGAGACAAGTTTGGAGTTGTTAAAATTCATTTGAGGGTATTAGAACTTCGTTGTAATTGCTCATTATTTAGTGAATTGGGATGATCCATGGAAATGAATCCATGAAGGCCTTTACTTATGGCGTTCATCTAGATAACCTTCTCATTCCTGTTCATGCACATTTTTTCCTTCATGTCAGTTTTTCTGAACCTTTGATTCAGCGATCCTTTTGGCTCTCATCATTACCCCATGGTTGGAGTCCCCAGTTTGTCCTGGGTAGAACAACAAGATCAGGATTCTTGTTACAGCCCATTGTCCCAGGTGTTAAGTATATATGCAAAAGGTGATTTTACCTTTTCACCCTTAAAACCCCGAGAAAGGGTCCCATTTGCTTATATATATTTCTCCCCACTTTGCTCTAATTGACCCTTGTTATTACAGACCATGTTCTATCATATTTACCTATTTCAGATTGTCTTCGAGGTTTTCTTGGGATCACTGGTATTGGTAAGCTTTTCATTCCTACAAACTTAGCTGAGCCTAGTACCACTTTATTGACGATTTGCTTAACATCGCCTAGTACCACTTTATTGACGATTTGCTTAACATCAGCTTTCCAAGATACAGTCTTCTCTGGTTTAATAGATACACTGCTGGATGCAGAGCTTACTAATACTTCAGTTGACGCTTTCAGAGTAGAAGGAAGCTCAGAGTCTGTAATCTTTGGCAAAATTTCAAGCTGAGGAGAACTTTCCTTTAACCGGGTAGTGATAACCAAGTAACGACCACTGAAAGGTTGGGAAAACTTTGAGGGAATATCTGAAGAGTCTCTTATTTGACCAACCGGAATCTTCTTGAGTTGTTTTTTCAACTTTTCCCCAAAAACTCGCTTAGAAGCTGACTGACATCGTGGGAAAAATATGGGAGGAGGAGCAGTCTCTGGTAAGTGCCAATAGGTACGGATAACAGATTTGGGGATCACAGTTCGTCTTCCTGGTATCTGAAAATCAAGACAGATATTTCGGATACTGACTTGTAATTGTGGATGTTTTTCTGAAACTTCAAGAAGCCTAGTTCTACCTATTCGTTTTGGAATGACTTTATCTTCAGTAACTGGTACATTGAGTAGCTTAGTTTTACCAGTCTTGGCTGAAAGAAGAGAGAGAGAGAGGAAGTAAATTTACATTCCATTTATCAGTATGTCAGGCATAAAACTAGGACTGTCTTAGCTTTTATAATTTTTCTTTACCCATTTACAGATCTCTCACCATCTGAAATATGTTTATGCTTGCTCAGCTTTGGTTAAGTGATGGGGATAAAGTTTGAACAATAGAAAAAGTGCAAAGGCCAAATCATATTAGATTTAGAAAGAGTGGAGAGATGCTCTGGGAAGAACAGAGCCGATGGAGAAATATAGGATATAAGGAAAGATTATAACCATTTGTCATTCAAACTCTAGCAAGATGACTTGGATGAAGTTTGAGAACATTCTGATACTGGCTATAAAATGTCACACATTTAGTTAAGCTAAACAGTAAGTCTTTTCTCTTTTACATCTAGAAATCCACTGAGCCCAGATTCTTTTTTGGGGGGGGGTATATTAACAGCCAACAAGCATTTATATATGGTTATTATTATTATTGATAAAATATGTAGAAACAGATTTTGTTCTCTGCTGAGCCTTGTCCTTTGACCACTTTTCACTCTTTCAAAAAATAACACTTGGCCAGGTGCCAGTGGCTCATGCCTGTAATCAATCCTAGCTACTCAGGAGGTTGAGATCTGAGGATCATGGTTCAAAGCCAGCCCAGGCAGGAAAGTCCATGAGACTCTTATCTCCAGTTAACCACCAGAAAACCCAAAGTGGCACTGTGGCTCAACATGGTATATATAGCATTAGCCTTGAGCAAAGAAGCTCAAGGACAGTGCCCAGGCCCTGAGTTCAAGCCCCATGATCACTACCAATAACAACAAAATAATACTTGCTTCAGTTTTTCATATGCTTGGTTTTCTATGGATCAATCATTTTTTTCCCCAATGCTCCATTCAACCTGCCAAACTTCTGGTAGAAATTTTCCCAGCTATTTAAAAACCTTAGTTCCCTATTTTTGCCCTGAGGGCCTTCCCTTGTACAGCCCTCTGCATTCTCCTTTGTCTGGAATGATTGTCCTCTAGGCCAGATGTCCACCTGCTATGCTTTCCCCTGATTCCTTTTCCTCAATTTCATCTATGCATGTGTCTGGGTCCTGGGTTTTGATGGCACCTTCCAGTAAGTTCTTTTTTATTTTACTTAAAAAAATTTTTTTATTGGTTGTGGGGCTTGAACTCTGGGCCTGGGCATTGTCCCTGAGCTCTTCAGCTCAAGGCAAGTGCTTCACCACTTGAGCAACAGTACCACTTCTGGTTTTCTAGTGGTTGATTGAAGATAAGAGTCCCATGGACTTTCCTGCTTGGGCTGGCTTTGAATCTGGATCCTCAGAACTTATTCTCCTGAGTAGCACCGGCACCCATGAGCCCAGATTCTTATGTATCTCAGTCTACCAGATGTGCCTTTTCTTTCCCATGGGGCAGAACGTTACATGACATTTTTCTCAGCTGAACGCAATACATGGATGACCTCTATATTGAAATGAGAAGGCAAGATATTAATTTTTATCATATTAATCATAGTTATTTTCAGTTTTCTGCCTGATCAATTTCAAGGTCTGTGTTATTCCTGAACATGGTTTTGATGTTAGCTCCGTCTGTTTAGATTTATTCCCCGCCCCCATGTTTTGTAGCCAAGTACTGGTGGCTCACATCTATAACATAGCTACTCAGGAGGCTGAGACTTGAGGATCCCAATTCAAAGAAGCCTGGGTAGAAAAGTCCATGGGACTTTAATATCTAATTAACCAACCAAAGGCCAGAAGGAGAGCTGTTGTTCAAGTGGTAGAATAACAACCTTGAACATTACACTCAGGCCCTGAGTTCAAGCCCTAATACTGATACAAAAATAAATAGATAAACACATAACAAATAAATAAATACATAAGCAAACATACATTGTAATTTTTTCTCCCAATGTTTTTATCGAGATTAAGTGATTATGTAAGCTTCACAGACCTGTGGCATAGTTATACTTAGCTAGAGTAATTTTTAATTGAAAGCTAAACTTGATATGTAAGTTACAGAAGGGTAGATAATTGCATGCGTAGCTTCAGTTTCCTTTATCCTTTTTTTTTTGGTCTTTTTTACAAATTTTATTTTACTTTATTGTAAAGGTGATGTACAGAGGGGTTACAGTTATGTAAATAATGAGTACATTTCTTGTCGAACATTGTTCCCCCCTCCCTCATCTTTTCTTTTTTGTTGTCTTTGAGTTTCCCTATGAAGTCTTTAATGAATAGAGTATGTATCTTATAGCTCCCTCAATTGCAATCCACTATTATTATGCTATAATGCTATTGATCTAGTATAGGGTGAAACAGTGTGGGAAATGTTCTGTGATATGATTAAACCTCGGTTTTTGAGTGGGCCTGAACCTCTTCTCTATGGGTCAGAAATTGTTTTAGTCTCCCTCTCCTCACCTTCCCTGAATACGAAAGCTAAAGGGGCTAGACTTGGCTAAATTTTCCCTTCCTTTAAATTATATGGGGTTCTGGTGACCTAACTTCTCTTAAAGGACATATCTTTGTTGTGGAGAATGCTCTGGGATGATTTTATTTTATTTTATGGGTCATGGGGCTTGAACTCAGAGCCTGGGCACTATCTCTACTATCTACATGCAAGACTAGCGCTCTACCATTTTGAGACACAGCACCACTTCCAGTTTTCTGGTGGTTAATTGGAGATAAAATTTTCTTGGACTTTCCTGCCTGGGGTAGCTTCAAACTGTGATCCTCAGGTCACAGCCTCCTAAGTAGCTAGGATTACAGGTGTGAGCTACTGGTGACTTGCTCCTGGGACTATTTAAATGAACACCTTACCCTTCTTCCTCGAGGACAAATGTCTCCACTCTTCTCAAAGAACTTGGTGCGTTCCAAAAGGAAAAACCATGGCACTGTAGAGTTACCAGAAACTTCTAAATCTCAAGGAGGTCTACACTCAACCTCTAGCAAATCATCAAAATTAACATTTAAGTGTCCTACCTGTTAATGGTTCAGTTTTCTTCTGCTTCAAAGGAACTAGTTTCCATTTTGATCCTACCTTTTTAGGCTTTGGGATGATAGTTTTTCCTGTGAAATACAGAAAGGAAAAATAAGTGAAGAAGCAAAAATATTCAAGTAAATCTTTCCACACTGTGCCACATTTCTTCTTACCCTCAGACTTTACACAAAGAAATAGCACTGATAATTGCAAACGGTTTCATTCAGGCAAGGGATCTTGAAAAGAAAGCAGATGTATATGTATCTCTAGCAACTTTCAATGCATTTCTTCGAGAATACAAGTGAATGATTATATCCTTTTGGTTTAACTTCCTTATGTCTGAAGTCACAAAGCACAGTAAAGGCTATAATACCTTTTAGAATAAGTGCTATATGAGAGGAAGCAAAGCAGAGAATCACAGGCCATGTGGTCAGTACAAAGAAATCCAGTATAGATTGTAATATCAAGGACACAAAACCTATACATGCTCTGCTAAAGATTGGATAATGCATCTCTTTGCACCTGCATGGTACCCCATCTGAGCACATCCTGTACTGTGTTCAATCTTTAAGAAAAGGCTGGAGCTCTCATGTTTGAATTCATCCTGCCTCTAAATTCTTTCTTGTAACGGAACCAAGGTTGAAGGATAACTTGTGTTTCCTGCCTCTCTACCACCCCCCATATTTAGAAGTAGAATTCTCTAACATAGAAAAGATCATTGATTGCTTGTTTGCTTTTTTGATTCATTTGAGGATGGAGATGACCACTTCCAACCTCTTTATATTTTAACACTGACACTACAAGTCTACTCACATTTACTTTTCAAGTAAGTGTGACCTGCAGTTTTCCATTTCTAATATCAAAACTATTATTACAGTTACTACTGATGTCTTGTGGCTACACTCAGTGGATATGTATTATAATTTTTCTTTATGACCTCCTTTTTAGCATGTGATATATATATTTAATATATATACACACATAGATATAAACTAGTAGTTGCCTTTTATGTTTTTAAAATGGATACATTTTATTAGAAGTTGAATTTTTCACTCATCTGTATTTGCATCAATTCATTGTACAAGAAGGTTTTCATATGATATGTTCACATGTACATACAATATACCTTAATCAGACTCATCCCTTCCCATCCCCAAACCAATCTTCAGGGAATGTTGGAGGGTGAATCACATTGAAGTGCACTGTATCTATGAACAAAAGTTGAATAATAAGTGTTAGGGGATAAAGGAAAGAGAGTAAGTGAAGGGGTCAATCTGATTAAAATACTACATGTGCAGGTATGAAACACCAAGGTGAGATCTTTGTAAACAATGTACGTACCCTTTAGGAAACAATGACAGGAATGTCAAATAGGTCCTATTGAGGATATAGTTGGAGGTATAACTGGAAAGGATGATGCAGGAGGGATATGGTTAACATACTTTATGTACAAGAATGATATCTGACCATTTGGTATTTTAATCTACTCTTTTTTTCGTGATAACAGGCTATCATTTTTCCTTTCCTTCCATTCTGGTGACTCATCCCTCCTTTCTAAGTAAATCTTTTTCTTTCCTAATTTACCACTTAATATTCCTAGGACCTCAGTCTTATTTGCCATATACAGTAATATTTTTTTTTTTTGGTGTCAGGTCCTGCAACTTGAACTTAGGGCCTAGGTACTGTCCCTGAACGTTTTTGCTTAAAGCTAGTGCTCTACCACTTGAGTCACAGCTACACCACTACTAGCCTTTTGTTGGTTAATTGGAGATAAAAGTCTCACAGAACTTTCCTGTCTGAACTGGTTCCAAACCATGAGCCTCGGATCTTAGCTTTCTGAGTAGCAAGGATTACAGACATGAGCCACCAGCATCTGGCTTCACTAATTAAATTTTAAAATCTCAATCCATAAGCCCTAATGTCTCAAACTTACCATGCCCAAACCACATTCATCAGTGATTTCTGTTCTGATTTCCCTTGTAGAGATATATCTTCTGAGTACACACACACACACACACACACACACACACACACACACACACACACACAAATATCCATAGTGGTTTCTTTTTTTTAATGATGAAAATACTGTGGAGAGGGGTTACAATTACATGGGCAAGGTAATGAGTACATTTCTTATCAAGCATTGTTGCCTCCTCCTTTGTTTCCCCTTCCCATCCCTTTCCATCCCACTCCCCCCTGCCAAAGTTGTAAAGTTCGTTTTTCGACATAACGTCTTGTACATCTCATTGTTGCAATGGGTCTACCTGTATCCCTATTTAAACAATTTGTTTTTTTCTTTCCCCTCCCCCAATTATACCAACATCAAATAAAGTGAAAACAGGGGTTATGCCATGGGGGAGGGACATACAAAGCAACAAAGAAATATCTTATAAATATGTTAGAAACAATAGCAAAAAAGAAAAAAAACATTTGAGTCCTTATCTTGGGGTTCATTTCGCCTAACATCAAGTTATCTGACCATTTCTGCTTGTCTCAGAAACATACTAGTTATTGCAAATAAGGGAAACCATGAGACCTATGTTACTTTGGGCCTGGCTTACTTCACTTAATATAATTTTTTCCAAGTCTTTCCATTTCCTAACAAATGGGGCAATGTCATTCTTTCTGATGGAGGCATAGAATTCCATTGTGTATATATACCACATTTTCTTGATCCATTCAGCTACTGATGGGCGTCTGGGTTGGTTCCATATCTTAGCTTTGGTAAATAATGCTGCAATAAACATAGTTGTGCTGATAGCTTTAGTATGGTCTTGTTTGTGATTATTTGGGTGGGTAAATGCCCAAAAGTGGGATTGCTGGGTCATAGGGGAGCTCTATGTGGAGTCTTTTGAGAAACCTCCATACTACTTTCCAAAGTGGTTGAACAAGTTTACACTCCCACCAACAATGCAGTAAGGTTCCCTTCTGTCCACATCCCCTCCAGCATCTTGTTGTTATTAGAGTTCTTGAGTATAGCCATTCTAACTGGGGTGAGGTGGTATCTCAATGTTGTGATTTACATTTCTTTTATGGCTAGGGAGGTTGAGCATTTCCTCACGTGTCTAAAAAATATGGAACACTTCACTAATTTGTGTGTCATCCTTGTGCAGGGGCCATGCTAATCTTCTCCTTATCGTTCCAATTTTAGTATATGTGCTGCTGAAGTGAACACACAAATCCATAGTAGTTTCTTATGGCTGCTGTAAAAAAAAATTCCACAAACTGGGTGGCTTAAAACAACAGAAATTTGTTCTCTCACTGCCTGGAATCCGAAGTCTACAATCAGTATCATTGAGCTACAATCAAGGTATAAGCAGGGCTATTCTCCCAATGGAATCCTTTTTATGGAACCTAATCTTTGAAAAGTACAGACTCATTCTATGCAGAAATATTGGATAGCATTGCAGCACTATGCTTATGGCCATTGTGTGCGAGTGTGTAGGGGTGGAGAGGTGGAGCACATGCACGTGTACAGTATTAGAGCTTGAACTCAGAGCCTCTTGCACTTGCTTGGCTTTGTTGCTTAAGATTACCATTCTTATCACTTGAGCTATACCTCCACTTCTGAGATTTTTTTTTTCTGGTTAATTGGGGATAAGAGTCTTTCAGATTTGTTTGGACGGGCTGGTTTCAAACTATGATCCTCAGACCTCAGCCTCCTGAGCATCTAGGATTACAGGCACTGGCACCCACCCAGCTGCGAAGGGTTATTTTAAACAGTGCAAATACCAACAAAAAGCACAAAGTTGAAGAAACATGGCACTAAACATACCAGAGAAAAGGGACACTTGTTCACAGAGTGAGAGTTGAAACAAAAAGCCCATAGGTTTCCCAGTTCTTCTCAGAAGGGAGTATTGTGTTGAATGATTCATATCTTTCTTAGCTATCCATGGCCACCCATGACTTGGAAAGAGCTATAAGTGCTGATTTAGAGTTACAAATAAATTTTATCAATGAGGAAAACCTACATTACCAAGTGCACAAATAAAGACTGTACTTGTAGAACTGGACTTGTTTGGATTGTATTGTACTTATAGAATTGACAACCAAATGTTATCATTTTACAACACACATTTGTCAGTTATGATTAGTGAATGTCCTTAGTGGTTCTGAGCAGCACAAGTCAATGAATTTCTATTGAAATGCACAAAGGTTAATGCAAATGTCTGATTAACACACATACCTGTAGTGATTTTCTTCTTATATGTAGACAATTTAGGGAGTTTTGGAGGTAAAGGTCTTCGAAGAAGTATTAATGGTTTTTCTATTTTACAATAACTTTTTTCCATAATCGTTGATCAAGTGAGAATTGAAGTTTTTGAGTGTGCTTAAATTGCTGCTGAAAAGTAATTTAGATTTCATATTAATGAAAATCATTCTGTTAATTATGTTAATATCATACTGAACCTAAGTAGGTTTTTTTATAAGGAAAATAATTTACTTAAAGTTTTGGGTTTATAATTAATCAAAAAGTGACAGGACATAGTGGGCATCGGTGACTCACATCTGAGATCCTAACCACTCAGGAGGCTGAGATCTGAGGAGCCAAGCAAGCCAAGGTAGGAGTCTTTGAGAGTCTTTGAGGAGTCTTATCTCCAGTTAACCACCAAAAAGCCAGAAAGGAGCTGTGATTCAAGTGGTAGAACTGTGACTCAAATGGTTTGGCACAAATGCTCAGGGACAATGCCTAGGCCCTGAGTTTAAGCCCCAGAACCAGCTAAAAAAAATGTATCAGAATTTGAATTCAGGACCTTATGCTCTACTAATGAGCCATACCTACAGCCCTGCTTTTTGCTGGTTAATTGAAAATAAAGTCTTGAGGACTTTTCTTCCCAGCCTGCCTTCAAAGTGAAATCATTAGGATTTCAGCCTTCTGAGTAGCTAGGATTACAGGTGTGAGTGACCCATGCCCCACTCAGAATTTTATATATACATATACATTACATATATATTACAAATACAATATATATTACATATACAGAAATTATATATACATACGCACATGTATATACATTATATATAGTATATACACAATTCTATATGTGTATATATATACATATGTACATTATCTATTGAGAAAATATATACATGCATATGTTGCACCATTCAAACACTCACATACACACACACCGGTCATTCTAAAATTTCCCACGTGAAATGGGAAATGTACTGTCAATGTTATTTCAGTCAATAAAGGGTGATTTTTTTTTTCTTAACCATAAAAATGACATTTCTTTCACTACCTCCAAAGTGTTATCGCTCCAAATTTAGAAAGGGTTTGGTCAAAAGATGTGAAAGATCCTTCTATTGTACGCAGACGCTCAAGGCTCACTTCCTGGCAGCAAGTCCCCGTTGATGTTGGCAATTTTCCATCTGTAATATCCAAAGCGATAGCTGGAAGAACTGGATTCCTACACTACCCAGAGGCTTTTCAAACCAACTGCTCATCTTTCATCGCCTTTTCCTGGGAATCTAGGCAGCTCTAGTTAGGCTGTGGTGTTCCTGTAGGATCCAGCTCCCATACAAGCAGCCTGAGGCTAAGGAGGCCGACCTTGGCAACCAACATCCCTAGACAGGTAGGCCGGTGGGGGGCCTCACCACTGGCGCGAGAGGGAGAGAGGGCGGGAGAAAGGTGGGGCGAGGGCGGGGCCACGACGAGGGGGCGGGGCCACGGCGAGGGGCGTGACCGGAGAGTGGAGGGGCTAGGGGCGTGGGCGGGGCCGGATGGCGGGGCGGGGCCAGCGCGTGGGTGGGGCCAGCACGCGGAGCGGGGGCCAGCATGCGCCACTGAGCCCGGCGGAGCCTGGAAGAGCCGGGTCCGGCCCCCGGCTCTGTACAAGTGGCACCCACTGGCCCAGCCCCAGGACTGCTTGGAGAGGCTGCGGAGCTGTGGGGCAGCTGGAGAAGCCGCTCCACAGGCAGCTGCTGTACCGGAAGGCTGTGGTGAAATTGTTATTCCTATTCTTCTTCTTAATGACAATGACCACTGTTACTTATTTACTCTAGGACCAGATGCTGAGCTCCAGAAGGTGTCTGGGGTCCAGGCAGGGCTCATTTTGCCTCTCCTGCGGTGCTATCCCCTCCCCTCACCAAAGCTCAAGGTCTGCTCTCTGTTTTTCCTCCCCTGGAGACAACCTGTTAGCCCTCTCTGAGTCCTTGGTTCTGGCTGTGTTCTGGTTGTGACTTGGTCCTGGTGTTAATGCATCTGTATGTGTAGAGCTAGAGCCACTGAGGGTGTTTGCATGTTGGTGCATGCGTCCCTGGAGATTTGAAGGCGGCAGGACAGTAGAGAGAATTCACTAGGTGACTGGAGAAATCCCAGTTCAGCAAGTAAACTAGACTTAACTTCCGCTGAGCCTTCCCTTTCCCTTAGCACAAGTGCAGGAACTTCAGTAACTGTTGTTGGGAAACCAGACTTCTGTGTAAATAGCTTTTTTAGCTCTAGGGATTTTCCAGATTCATCCTCTACCCATCTTCCTTTTTCTCCTTATGAACTTCAAAACAAAACCAAACAAAACCCAGAAAACTTGGAGAGTCTGGGGACTGTTGTGCACAGTGTTTCCCTGTCAAGTATTAGCATATGGTTTGCTTTCCTTAGGGATTACTCTGTTCTTGGTTCTTGATCACTTTGGCCATCCCAGATCCTGGATTTAGTTCACTTCTGCCTGTCTGGATATCATAGATTGATGAGAATTACAAATCAGATCGTCAAAGGCAGATCTAATCATCAGTATTATCTTATTCTGCATGTTTTGTAAATGTGAAAAAAATGTTTCTATTCTGAAGCACTAAAAAACTGCATGTGTGCCACTATGAAGTCAAGTTCTGCATTCTTAAAATAGTTTCTTTTTTTCTGGGAGAACTACTGGGGTTCAGCTTTACTGAGTGCTGCTTTGTTTTTATAATTTTGCATAGTCATAATCAAGGTAATGCATTCTTCATTAAAAATAAAAAGGAAAACAACTGCTTGATCACACATGGAATCTCCTGGCATCAAACTTTATTCTTTGTAGATTTCTAACAAGTACCAGACCAGAACCTAGGGCTCTTTTATAGGCTCTTTCCCAGGTGTGAATCTTTCCTGTGGGTACTGCCAGGGAGCACCAGCTATTTCAGAAAATGAGATCGTTATTATGACAATGAAAGTCCATGCCTGCTACGTTTCATATGCACATCCCAGTTCTTCTAGGACATCTTACCAGCTTTATTGATGGGAATGATATAGAAAAACATAGGGTGAGTTTTTAAAAACACACATCACATTCAATGTGGATTACCATGCTACTATTCTTTTTTAAAGATTTCTTTCTCTTTTAAAAAAAGTAATTATTGTTTTGTCTCTGAAAAAATGGCGTTCTGTCTTTGATGTCAATGGTCTTTGATGTCACATGTTCAGTATGTCCTGCCTTTTTATTTGTCTCAAGCTTTGCTGTCTGGGCAAAACCACTTCTTGTCAGAGGGAGCCACTATGCTTTCAATCTGATAGCAGATATTATTACAGCAGCCAGAGTCAGGGTGAACACTAAGGTTATAGACATCCTACATCACGCTTTTGGGATGAAAGTCTTAGGCAGAAAGCATCCCCAGGCACCCTGAAGAAAATGCTATTGATTTTCCTAATGATGGGTAAGTTCAGGAACCTCAGATTTGCTGTTGATGAAAGGAAACAGCCTGTTGGAATGATGTAAAGAAGTGTTATTATGCCAGGTGTCAGTGGTTCACGCCTGTAATCCTTGCTCCTCAGGAGGCTGAGATCTGAGGATTATGGTTCAAAGGTAGCCTGGACAGCAAAGTCACTGAGACTTTTTCTCCAACCAATCACTACAAAGCTCAAAGTAGAACTGTGGCTCAAGTGGAAGAGCCTATCCTTAAGAATAAAGGCATGGAGACAGTGCCCAAGACTGGTACAAAAAGAAAAAAAGAAGTGTTGCTAGAAATCTTCATTATTTCCCATAGATCCCTTTGCTTTTAATTCATATTTATTGTTCGTTTGTTTGTGGATCTAATACCAGTACTGGGACCTCCCACTGTCACTTTTTCATTAAAGGCTGCACTCTACCATTTGAGCCCTGGTTTCACTTCCAGCTTTTTGCTGCTTAATTCGAGACAAGAGTTTCTTGGGTCGTTCTGCCCAGGATGTTTTGAACTTTAATTCTCAAATTTCAGCCCTCTGAATAGCTAGGATTGCAAGTGTGAGCCACCAGTTCCTGGCTTCTATATATTTCTTTTGTTTTCAAATAGAACAAAAGTTTTGCAAAAAACACTCTGGCCAATGTAGAGTTAATCTAATATTTCATCATTTGGAAGTAATGGGAGTAATTTTTATTGGCTCATATTAGTTTTTAAAGGTCCTATGAAGTTTGAATAGTTGTTTTTCAGAGCATATTGTTTGACTATTCAGTCTTAGGGTGACTCCAGGCATTAAATTCTTTGACAAGGAGGTGTTTTTCTTGGTCTGCATTTACTTGTATGTATCTATGAAATGAAATATCTTTAATCATCACCATAACTTAAACACATACACTTAAGTCAGATACTTTCATGCTGTTGCCTAGAGAACAATCTAACATTTTCTCAAACATTTATAAAGATACTTGCAAGCAGTTGTTGTTCTTTTAAACTCTCTTCATTTCTAGTCTTCATTATTTTTGGCCAGTCCTTTTTTCTCTTTCAAGATGATAATTATTTCTTTTCTTTTGTATGAACTAGAAATCCCATAATTCATTATCAAAAAAATTGCCAGTAAGGAAATGTCATTCAATCTACATCACAGATTTTTTTAAGAATCCCAAATATAATGAACAGACAGCATCTATAAAAATGTTTATTAATTCATTCACTCCAGGATTGTGTACATTAAATGCCTACAATGAACAAAACACTTTGCAAGGTGATAAACTTATAATTTTATTTAAGTAATTTATTAGTTTGAGGCTTTAGTTTTAAGCATTAAAACAAAAATTTAAATCATTTCCAAGACCTCACTTATCTATAATTATAACTACTTGAGGTTTTCTTTTTTGTTTTTAATGATTTATTACACTGCTTGGGTAGAGTTATTTTTACTGCTCTTAAAACTTGGAAACATTTTACGATTTCTTAGCTGCAGTGATCATTTTAGACTATTTGTCTGCAATCAGGTGATATTACATATTTGTATATATTTTATGATTCTGTCCTTCACTAAAATAGTTATAAAATTTGTTTTTTCATCTTTTTTGGTGGGCACATGGGTTTTGGCATTAATTAGTTCAAACTTGTGGCTTCATGCTTGATAGGCAGGAATGCT